AGGGGAAGAATAATCTCCTGAAGGAAAGTTTATTGAGCACTGAAATGTAAAGTTAATTGCACTTGGGATCAGATACTGATAGAATATTCGCAAACGTACAAATTTGCTTTGGGGTTATGAAAATACTTGGTCAAGTTCATTTACTTGGCACTCGATGAGGCTGCCTGCAAGAGACCTGCTACATCTAGGAGTGCTGTAACATTTTTTTTTTTTTAACTTCTTGTTTTGGATAAACATTGATACTAAATCTTTGCTCCTTTCTGTTTCTTCAAAGCACAAATTGTGGTATTTACTCTATTGGTCTCTTCTTTGCTTCTGAGCGGAAACAAATAGACAATGTTTCAGTAAAAAATTCAGGCTAAAGATTCAAATATTTATCAGTTTCCTGAGTCATATTTACATCCGTGAAGTATGATTTACTTCCGTAGCACTGACACACCTGCAGAATATGTTCAACATAATTCTTGCCCAATTCACAAGGAAATAAAGCATAAATACTAATCATCACATTCATATAAAAATATATGTTTTAGCAATATTATGTCAGCAACAGTAAAAATGTCTTATTTTCTAGGAATCATGGACTCTACACTAATCTCCCACATACTTGCCCAGATTCTAGAATGTTCTTTATTTCAATCAGTGTACAAATAAAAACTTTGCTGTTAAACGCTGCATGTTGGAAAGCTGATACTGATTTAAAAAGAAAGGAGCAAATGCAATATTGTACCAGTAAAATACCTCCCACTAACGGAGGAGAGAGGTCTAAATGTAGTATAGCTTGCTCTGAGTATCAAATATATCCAAGTGTATACTGATGTATACAATTTATGCCAACCATAAATCTGTCAGACTGTGGCTGTGGTGCTATTTGGAAGCTGTGTTAAAATTCTAGGAGGTAGCTCACAGTTCAGTCTTAAAAGTTGCAAAGCCAGTCAGAGTTTTAATAAGCTGAAATAGTCTTGAGTCAAGTTGTAAGCCATATGAGTAAACAACACATTCCTCCATTTTGCTTTCTCTTTGTTTTGAGGTTGAGAAAACATTCCTGATTCCCCGGGGCAGCAGTCTGGAGCATGGGAGTGTCAACGCTCAGTGCTACACGGCTGTTTGTGCCTGTCTGTGAGCACTGACGCCTCTGGCTGGTTTAATAATGGCACTTATTGGCTCTTCGACACAAAGGAAGCACACCGCTCTTATCAGGCCCGAATTGCCAAAGCAAAGAGGAACAACACTGATATGCAATTTCACAAGTAAAATGTCTGATATTAGCCAGAGCATGGTAATACATGCGCTTCTGTTCTTATTTTGTGTTTCAGCATAACCGGAACAAAATGAATTCAATCACACCTACAGCAGAAAGAGATTTCAGATGAGAAAAAAAACAAAAAACAAAAACAAAACAAAACAAAACAAAACAAAAAAAAAAAAAAAAGGAGAGAAATTTAGATGTGTTTAAATATATCCTTAAAATTTGAGAGACAAAATGAAAAGCTACATCTGTAGCTCCTTCAGCAAAAACAATATGCTTTATTTCAAGTGCAATAGCTGCAAAACAAAGGGAGGGGGTAAGGGTGGACGAGTAGTAACATGTCTTTAAAATGAAATGAAAACTGGATGCTGAAGACCTGAAAGTAGACGTAGTCAGCATTAACACCTGCAGAGAGCTCAGTCTGATAAGTATCCCAAATTCTGTTTGATTCGTACTGCTTGTGAACACAGACCCTTTCACCCTAGTGCCAGCTGCAGTGGAAACCTACCGTGGGCTATAATCCTGGTTCACTGACAATTTTATTCTACAGCAGGTGCTATAGAGATGGAATACCATTTTCTTTTTTTTCTCCCAGCTGCTGTTACTCTTTGTAGCCTGCTCTATCTTCCAGCAGGCTGGAAAAGAGCAGATTGCAATAACAGGCTGAGGAAGAAGGAACACAGTCTGCAACTCTGTATTAACAAAGGCATAGCATGGGCAGGGAGCTCCACTGCCAACAGTTTGCCTCTAGTCAAAAGCCCCTGTGGCTGGATTGTATTTGCTTCCTTGAGGAGATATCTCTTCACAGTTATAATCCACAGGAACTATTTTGCTAAGACAACTGAACTGAGGATGAATGTCTAGAAACAAGCATTTGAGTCAGGCCAACCTCACATCCTTGATGGGAAACTGCTGTCTTTCCAGATCCAGCATTAGCTTGTTCTAAGGAACTCCTTTCAACAGCTGTGGGGAACCTCGGTTAGAGAGGTGTATGGAGTTTTCCTGCAGACAGGCTCCTTCTTCTGTGATTTATGTCAGAAGGACACTCGGGGCTGTGAAACAATCAATCATTTTAGCTGTGTTTCTCTTTCCACTTTTTATTCTCTAATGTCTTGCAGGTGATGCCCAGAGGACAAAGTGTAAAGTGACAGATACAGCCTGCTTAACCCTTTACAAACAGGTGCTGCTGCTTTTTTAAGCCACAAATCAGATTTCCAGGTCAAACCCACAGTGAGGAATCTGGCTGTTTGATCTATTATACCGTAATGTGAAGAATGTGGCCTATTCCTGAGGAGTAGGTGATTATGGACACAACATCCCCCTCACAACAACCTTCAACAGCCAGGCAAATTCCAGATACGGAACATCCACACACTAATGCTAACACCTAGACTGAGCTGAACCCGACTTACACACTTTGAGCATTACAATGCGAGGAGACAGATAAAACTAGGCGTCGGCTTGAGTGCTGTTTTTAAATCGCAGCTCACAGCTTCCACGCTATCGGGAAAAGCAAACAGGCGGGGAGCAGAGTAGCACGGGGATTCCTTCCCTCAGCACCACAACAAAGGATGGCGCGATACAGGGCGTTCCGCTCCTTAGCGCAGCGGGTGGGGCGGGACCTCACTGGCGCGCGGGCTCATCTATATGTCGGTGGCGGCGGGATTCGAATCGCGCCCCCGCCTACAAAGCCCGAGGCGCGCGGCCGTCCTCAGCATATTATTGGCTGAGAACTCGCCACGTGATGCAGTGTTACAGGATGGGGGGGAGGCAGAGAAGTGGAGCCGGCCATATTGCAGGGGGCCCTCGAGGGCGTAGGGTTGCTCGGGGTTGCTGCTGTACGTTAAGAACCTTTCGGCTACCGCACGCGGCCGCCCGTTCCCCGTCTCCTCCCGCTCGGCGCTCTTCTTCTGCTTAGCCCTCTCGCATCCTCATCCCAACGCCCCGTACTCCATGGCGGCAGCAGCCGCACCGCTGTCGCCGCAGCCCCGGGGCGCTGCGGGCGGCGCAGCGCTGAGCCCCACGCGCATCTCGAGGCTGCAGGAGAAGGAGGAACTGCGGCAGCTGAACGACCGGCTGGCCGTCTACATAGATAAGGTGCGCAGCCTGGAGACGGAGAACAGCGCGCTGCAGCGGCGCGTCTCCGAGCGGGAGCAGGTATGCGGCCGCGAGATCAGCGGCTTGAAGGAGCTTTTCGAGACGGAGCTGGCCGACGCGCGTAAGACGCTGGACGACACGGCGAGGGAGCGGGCCAAGCTGCAGATCGAGCTGGGCAAGTTGCGCGCCGAGCACGAGCAGGTTCTCAGCAGGTGAGCCGATCCTCCTTTCCTGAGGAGGGAAGAGTGCGCGGGCAAAGCGCGGAGCCCCCGCCCCCCCGTTGTTGTGTGCCGGCGGCTGCCGGGCATGGAATGAATGAGCGCCGGAGGCTCCGCCTCGCCGCGGCCGCAGCGCCACCCCGTACGGAGCCCGCGGCCGTGCGCAGAGCCCTGTGCGGGGCCCCCGGGGCAGGGCGGGGGGGGTTGCTGTTCCGCCCCCCGCCGTGCGGCCTCGGGGGTAGCGCGGTGGTGCTCAGCGTCGGTGTGGGCGTTCCTCTGTCTAAAGCCGCTTTCCGTTGGGTGTTAACGGAAAGGCACGAGTGTGTGATAAGCAGGGCTTGTTTAAAGCCCCCGAATGAACAATTTCTGTACGTTTTTTTTTATGGATGTTCAGGTGAAGGCAGGCTCTGTCACTAGGTAGTAGGAAAAATCGTGGTGAGGTACGGGCTGCCCAGGGAGGTGGTGGAATCACTATCTCTGGAGGTGTTCAGGAAATGTGTAGCAATGGCAGTGAGGGACGTGGGCAGTGTTATGGTGGGGATGGGCTGATGGTTGGGTTCTGTGATCTTAGAGGTCTTTTCCAGCCTTAGCAATCTTACGATAATCTCAGAATTGCAAGTTTTATGGCACAGCCCAAAAATCTGCACAAAGAACTGATTTCTTCCACTGAGTGTTGGTTCTTGAAAATCAGACTTGATTCAATTGCTTATCTTGCTCATCTTGATTACACTGATGTAAAAAGCTTGGGAAAAAGAATCTTGTGTAATCTGTCAATTCTGATTTTCTCGTAAATCTGGTCTCAGTTCTGAGTTCCATAATGAAAAAGACACTAATGTAAACCAATACATGGCTGTTTCCGCATGTCTGCAGGCAGCTCAGTGCCTTCTGGGCTCTTTGCTTTTGCATAATGTGGTTCTCATCATTGGGTGGTCCTTCTGGTTACTCTTTGGTGACCACTGGTACACTTCCATTTAAAAAAAAAAAAAAAAAAAAAAAAGCCAG